GGCGTGGGACGCGGCCAAGCAGGCTCCCGGGGGGGCTGCAGCCCGGGGTGGCTGCGTGCGGGCTCCCGCCGCTCGCTCGGAGGGACTGCAGCTGCCGGCGAGCGCACGGCGATGGAGAGGAGCTGGGAGGAGGCTGCGGCCATGCAGCGTGCTGCGAGCAAAGAAATGAGCATCCTCCGCCGTGGCATGGGAGAGACGGGATTTTGGCGTGAGTGACACCAGCGCCGTCCTCGGCCACCCAGAAGGGACGAGGGGCAGGCAGGAGCTGCCAGCGCTGGCAGCGTGGGGTGAAAGGCAACGGGCCCTTGTTCCAGTGATCTGCCTGTCAGGGATCTAAGGAAGGAAACCAGATTGCTGCTTACGACTTTGCTTTGAGCATGTTTTGGATTTTAAGAGTATGTTTAATAAAGGGTACCTTATGTCGACAAAGCGTCCAGTGTCGTTTCGTGGTTGCAAGGCGAGGGCAGTCGGGGTCTTGGGGCCTTGGTGGGTGGGAACCCTTTTTGGCTGGGAGCGTCCACCCAGCCGTCACCCAGGCAGCTCCCCAAAACCAGCCCAGCTGCTTCAAATCTCCTAAACCACTTCCCAAGGTCCCTTTCAACCCGCATTACCCAACCGTCCTAAATCCTGCCTCCTCCGCGCCCTGCCGGGATGGAGAAGGTGCAAATGCAAACAAAAACCTCTGCAGGAAGAGTCTGGCCTGGGGTAGCGGCACCTTCCTGGCGTGGGGCGCGGGTGGCCGGGCAGATGGCCCCGGCTCCCTGGCCCCCGACGCTGCTGGGATGGAGGAGGACACCCAGAGGGGACCTTGCCGGGAGGAGAGGAGGAGCAGTGAGGAGCTGGGTGCTCGTGCAGGAGAAATCCCTCCAGTGCTGGGGAAGAGAGCTCCTGCTGGGAGCTGATGCCTTGAAGGCGAGGAGGGCTGTAAGGGGGGTTAGCATTCGGCTTTAATGGAGGGGGCTGATGCACGGTTGGGAAAGCACCCTGCAGCTGCGGGAGGAGGGCTCGCGGGCGGCCAGGTGCTGCGACGGGGGAGGACGGGGATGGGAGAACTGAGGCCTGGCGTGCTTTGCCCCGGGCTGCTCAGGAAAGCCCTCGAGCTCCCGCTGCCTTTGGGGGCGTTTTTGCAGGGGCAGGTCCCGCTCCCGAGGGAGCTGACTTGTTAGAAAGGCAGAAAACGGGGGTTTGGGGTTGTTTTCTGGGTATTGGTCAGCCGAAAAGCGAAGCAGAAATTTCTGCTCCCCTGGGAGTTGCCTCCTCCCTCCTCCGCACCCGTCCCGGCACCCAGCACCTCCCGGCCTGCGGCCACCGGGGACGGGCACCAGCGGAGGGGACCGTGCTGGGGAGAGGGTTTGAGCCTCCCAGCCTGCCTCCCCCAAATCCCCGGGGATCCTGGCAGGAAAATCCCTTATTGCACGCACCCCTTCAGGCAGCAGCGACCTCGGGAGCGGGCCTGGCCGCTCGCCTGCCCCTCGCTCCCCGGGGCAGGAGAAGTGCCCGGTGTCTAAACCTCCCCCAGGCGCCCCGCAGCCCCCTGCGCCCCAAAGGGCGCCGTGGGGTGAAGGCACACGGCTTCCCTCGGGGTTCACGGCTGCTCTTGGCCCCCTCCGTCTCTTTAAAGCCCTTGGGCTGGCAGCGGAGGGGGCAGGGATTCCTTATAGGGGCATATGGCTGTAGTACTTTTAATTAAATAAAGGCAGGCCCCATGCTTCAATCTGGGGGTCTGCCAGCCCCCCTTCAGCTCTGCCC